TGGGTTTAGGCAGTAGAATGTGCTGTGCTGTGAGCATTCATTTAACTAGACGCAGCCCCATCCTGAAGAGCATGTCCTGCTTTCAGTGCCTTGCTGAATAGAACTGCAAGCGTTTATTTAATTTCCATTCTATTTCCTTTTGAAAGAGAGAGGATGGGATGACAGACTCCAGAGGGAGCACTTTCAAGACATTTGTATGAATGACTGGGCTACAGAACAGCTTCAGTCGGTGGACACAGCTGTTTCGTGTACACCACCCTGCTTCAGGTTGTGGTTTTGTAAATGGGAGGAAATCAGCACAGCAGTGGGTTTATGTCCTGGGAAGGACGCATCAGAGGGCATCTGAAAAGCCAGTTGGTGGGTGTCCCAGCTGCGTGGCGTGCACCAGTGGAAAACTATATGATTTTTTATGATGATGTATTTTAATGCCTAGATATTGAGTTCTTCTTTTACGTTAGGGGACACATCTATGACCTCCATGGACGTGTGGCCAATGCTGCTTTTTACGTAGGCTCACAGAGCTTGTCTCTTTGGTGGTGGATAGTAAAGACAAGGCCAGGAGCACAAAGGGGCAAGGAGTCAAGTCCAAGGGTTTCTCTGATGCCTCAGATCTGCAAAAGCAACAGGAGCAGCTGTTTCTATCTGAGAAGGGCTCCTGCCCTAAAGTCAGAGTTCCAAATGCTTATGAGTGTCCTTGTCTTTTACTTTTTGTTTTTTTGTTGTTGCTTGAGTGTTTTTCTTTTGTTTTGTTTTGTTTAGAATTTGCCTGAATTTTGCATGTCGGCTTTAATGTAAATACTGCTTAAAATATTTTATTTATTTTATTATGATTTTTTCCATCACCATTCTTAAATGTCTATACAAGACAAATAATAGTAATATGTACAACCAAAAGTTATTTTCTCTTAAATTCTTTTTCTTTTTTCTTTTCTCTTAAATTCTTAATCTCAGGCAAACCCATGACCAGAGATGAAGCAAGATCAGGAATATTTGTGTCTTGAAAATATCTGTGGGGCGGCTCGTGTGGGTTTCGAGATTATTTGTTCATCATTTTCTTTCTCCAGTTGTTTTTACAATAGTATCTTTGGAAGAGAAAAGAAAATATATACATATGTATATATAACCCAGCGTTTTATTTAATGCAAGTTTACACCTTAACCATCTACAGGAACTTAAAATAGCCTTGCTGCTGCTGTTGGTGGTAACTGTCAGGAGAGCAGGCGGGGCACTGGGTGAGTGGTGCTCTTTCCATCCCCGCTCCGCTCCCCAGCAGCCTGAGTGCTGCAGCGCTGAGAGCTGGAGCCTCCCTGCAAGGGAGCTGAGAGGCCGTTTCCATGGAAACCCAGTCAATCTCTTCTGCCATTTCCAAACCCAAGCTGTGCAGCACAGGCTGCCGTCTGATTCTATCCACGGGGGATGCCGATTGTCCCACCCGGGCTTCCTTCGTGGAAAAGGCGTGCTCCTAGATGGGCAGATGCAAATCGCATGTTTGCAAATCAATTTCACGCCACGCCCATTGTCGAGGATGCTGGAGCTGACTGGGTTTGAGAGGCGAAGATCTCTTTTGTTAGATGAACAGTCACTTCCCCATCCATCGACTTCAGAACATTGATTTTTTTTTTTAATGTTGAGATTTCTTAAAGCTAGGAAATTTGTATGTAAATCTATGAGTTTTTAAAGAGCCTTAAATTCTTGCACAGTAACATAAAAATGGATACCAAGAGCGGTTAGAAGGAGGAACCGTTGAAAAGCCGGTCAGGGCTGCCTTCTGTGGTCTAGAAGCACCACCTAAAGATGGAAAAGCTGAATTACTACCCCGAAAACCGGGGCTGGTTATCTCAGGGAGACACAGCCAGTGTTTCCAGCATGTCTCTGCCCTGGGTGCTGGTGAAGGGAATTGATGTTGAGGGCAGCCTGAACTGTGGCGTTCACAGGAGCCTGTGCAGGCGGGCGGAGGCGTCTCAGGAGGAGATGACGTCCAGCCCCGGAGGCCTGTGAGCCTTGTCAGGCCAAAGAGTTTCCCCACATTCATTCAGGCGACTAGCAAGTGGCATGCCTGGGATGCTCACCCCACACACCCACCTCCAAACCCTGGAAATGAGAACAATCCTTTTAAGAGAGAAAGGCCTCTTTCCAGTGATTTTTTTTCTTCCTCAACACGGTGAAAGCTCTAAAAATAAGCTAAGTCAATCTCGTTTTGTTTGTTCTCATAATGAAAGAGGACATTTTAAAAACTTTTTTACTGAAACCTAGTTTGATTTTAAAATTAAGGGCGTAACACTCATAATCCCACTGGTGTAGACTTCAGCACCACACTTGCTATTTGCAATTAATCTCGTAACACAGATACATTTGAGCTTGCAGTCTGCACTTGAGTAACGCTTATTTAGTGGACTTTGGTGGAGCCCTCCATATGTATCATTAATCTCTTTACATAATCACATTTAATGATGGTCCAGTAATCTCAAAAAAGCCCTAATTTAAAAACTAATTAATAAATTAAATAAAACGAAACCCACACAGTGTCCCCCCACCACCCTCAATGCTAGCAGTTGTGAGTTGTATTTATACTGAAATCTAATGTTTTCAAAGTAGTTCAGGTTCTCCCACAACTCCATCCCACCCCAGAAATGCAGCAAGAGCCATCAATTGTTTTATTCTACCCTCCCAAAATTGTATAAATCCAGTGTTCTTTAGCTTTTTAAGATATAAATTGGGAGTTATTAATAAGCTTTTTAAAAAGGCACGTTATCAATAACAAGAAGGACATATAAACCAAGCAATAAAAGTATTGGACAGGACATTAAGTTACCACAGTCACTGGTTAAAACACCTATTTTCTTATCAAACAATGGATTATACATTCATAAATGACATTTAAACACATAAAAACTACCACAAAAACTTTTATAGGTAGTAAAAATATGATTTTCACTGAATTATTTGGCTATAATGTCTCACTTTAAATTTGAGAAGAGTCAACTTCCTTCTGCCCCAACAAAAAAGAACATCTCAAAAATGTTTAGCCATGTTAAAATGAATAAATTTTAAATAAACGTGCACTACGTACTTGAATTAGAAAGTTTAAGAATCTTTTTCTTTTCTTAAGCAAAAAGTAATGCCAAGTATATATTACTGTTTCTTGGTACATTTTTAATACAGATACATGCACCAAGATTAGCTTCTCTTGGATAGAATGATTTTTGTTGCTTTCAAATATGCCTTCCTGTGTAAGCTTATGGGTTTGGAGTTTACCTACATAAGGTGTCATTTGAAAAACCAGCTAGTTAAGTTCAGTCATTTAATTTATTTTTTAGACAATAGTTACTTAGCAACTGACTGAATAGTCTTATGATCAAACTTTAAGTATATGTAAACAGCTGTTACTTGAACAAAAATCAGGTCTAACAATTGGATTTGGAGTGTTGTTCATGATATGCAGAGACTGTTTGAAAACTTCATCACTGTTCTGCCTCAAATTCCTCTTTTAAAGACCCCAATTACCCTTAGTCTGAAGGGCGGTGATGGGAGCACAGAGAAGAACCCTCCACTGCTGCTTCACTCAGTGACCCTCATTCTCCCGGGAGCAGGTCCTCAATTAGACGTTTCTTCTACTATGATATGGAAAACATCCATTTCTATACCCTGAGATCCAGAGTTCTGTTCCCTTTCTTAGGACTAAAGGAGAGTACTGAAAACCATTTACACATCCAAGTGTCAAAATATGACATTCATACACTTAAAATTCGGCCAATTTCATGTATTTCCACTCTAATCCCTGCCGTTCTCCTCTGATCTTGAGAAAGCCCACCTTAAGTAAGTGCCTTGCTGTCCTGGTCTCAGCCCCAATATCCTATCCACAGTGACTTTCTGAGTGGAAAGCAAATTGAAATCTCTAGGAGCAGCAGACATGTATTAACTGTTTTTAAATTGTGATTCTTAATCTTGACAAGAATTCAAGTACTCATTGAGGCAGGAAGGGGCATGGAGTACGCTTTGATGCTTCCTGCTGGGGTAATATTGCTCACTAAGTTGCTTTATCCTTGTCATTTTTGGAGAGTTACAAATGTAATAGAAATAAAGGGGAATTTTTTCTTAATTTTTACATTCATGGTGGGTGCAAATGCAACTGAAATAGCCCAAAGTGCAAATGTGTTTGCAGTGCCATCTTATTATTCTTGAGACAGCACAGTTAAGAAGTTATACGGAGGGCAATATAATTATAAAGCTCTTTTTTAAAAAGTCTCTGATTAGAGAAATGGCAAGACCTTAATTAAGAAACAGGATGGGGTCGCCTCGGTAGAATTCAGTAGATGAGCATGTGTCCCCGTGAACTGTTCAGAGCCTCTCCACTGACTGACCTGGTGGATCTGAACTGATTTATGTTCTACTCATATTGCTCAAGAGTAACAACTATTTTAAGGGCTATCAAACCTGCCTGAGTGCAGTGGTCGTCAGAAAGACGGTCGGCCTGCATTCCCATGGTCCAGATACAGGTCGCTACCCTCACTGCTCCCTGGGGCCACCCAGGCTGGCCGCAGCCCTGGTCAGTCCGTGGAAGAGGAGACTTTGTAGTGCTAGGGTCTGAGTTCAGACTAAGACCATTCTCTCAGACCTCGGGGCACGTCTGTTCATGTGTGAGCCTTGCTTCACGCGTTGGCTGGTGCAATAACAAGCCCTGTGGTTGCTGGCTCTCCTGAGCTTTAAGAATGAGGGGAGAAAAGGTGGGCTGTTAGGAGGGAAGACAGATTCTAGAATGAGCAGCCTGGGGACCAAAAGTGCGGCATCTGTTCCAGAGACTGTGGGGAGCGGAGCAGCCACGAAGCTCCCGGTGCTCTGGAAGGTGTGCGTGTGGCCACGGTGACTTCCAGCTCCACTCAGCCTCTTTCAAGTAGGAGGTGAAGCAGTAGAGTTAGTTTGCTTTTTGGATTAAAAATAGTTAATTTTTCAGGGAATTTTATTCCTTTCAATTGTAACACAATTTGCATTTTTGATTGTAGGTGCCCCACACCTGGCTGTGACGGTTCTGGACATATCACTGGCAATTATGCTTCTCATCGGAGGTATGTAGAGATGCTACTCTTCTCTCCAAAATGCTCCTTCTCACTGAAATGGTGGGAATATCACTCACTTCAGGCTCCAAGCCTTGCAAAGTTTGACACCATCGGCAAAATTAGGGATCTAGAGACTCTTAGCGCCATAAAGCAGTGACGTCCTCATTGGAGCTTCTCTTAGAAAGCAAACCTTCCTTTTCCGGGGCCACTGTCTCCTCTCAGGACATCTCACGTGCAGTGCAAGTAGCCCCACTGAGAAACATTCCTAGTCATCCAGCAGCACTTCTTTCTAAATTGGAAGAGTAAAGGAAAAAGAACAGTATCTACTGTAAGATTCCCGAGAAAAGCCATCAAGAGACACACATTCTAATACCACTGAGAGCTGGTCTCTTAAATATTAAGATTGGACCACAAAGCTGTACAGTTATTCTAAGCAGGCTTCAGTAGAGCTAAGTGCTACGGAAGCACTTAATGTTACAAAGTCTAGGCACTGTCTCTCCCAAAGAGAGGATAGTGTCCAAAATATAACATAGAGATTTGGTCATGTGAGATAACAAAAATTCTATGCTACTTGACATTCAGTAACTACTGGATGAACATGGAATTGAGGACAGGCACTATTTAGCTGAGAATGGAAAGAAATTGTGGCACTATTCGAGAAAAAGTTCACCACTTGTTAAAGACGGTACATCAGACCATTCAAGGAGGGGTGGGCAGGGCAAGAGGTCCAGGGGCCATGCAATGAGCTGCTGCAGTCAGAGAGACTGGACTCAACTCGAACCCCACTGAGGACAAGTGGGGAGCAGGTTGGGGTCAGTGGATGCAAAATTCCCCACAGGAAGCATCAAGGAGAAGGGATTTCTGGCCAATGGACTTGATGGGATCATTGCTGATGGCTGGCCAGGGTGGTAGGACCTCCAAGTGCTCAGACAGGTGGTGGGGAATTGTTCTTAAACTGATTTAGAAGGATTCTTGCTCAAACTGGATCCTACAAGGACAGAGAGGGAAGTCAAGGTCGGGTGCATTCTAGTAAAGGACCCAGAGGAGCTCAACTCAAGTTTTGGTCAAGAAGAAAACCTTTGTGAAAATATTGTCCACACAAAGGCAAACCCACTACATGCCACGAATGTTTAAGTCACGTTTAGATGTACCAACAGCCAATGCCAAGTTAAGGACAAGAATGTTTCTGAAATAAGACCGATTTAAAGTGAAGTCTCCCCGTATGGGAAACAATGCTGCATCTATCAAATAAATAAACTAAGTTGTACGATATCTGCTCCCCTTCATCTCTCTAAATTTTAGATTATAAAGTAGGCAGTCCAGAAGCAGGTGAGGCCTCCTGCTTTTAACATACTGCTTGCAAGAAAAAAGAAAGAAAGAGAGAAAAGGCAGGAAAGGCAGGAAGGCAGGGGGAGGGGAAGGGAGGGGGAGAGAAGGGAAGGGAAGGGAAGGGAAGGCAGGGAGAGAGGGAGAGAAAGGAAGCTAGGAGAGTTAAAGAGAGTGTCAGCCATGGATAATGACCCCCCCGCCCCCCAGGACAAAGTTGTCTGCACAGAGTCGCTGAGTGAAACCCACTGTCTGTCCCTGAGTGACCAGATCCCGGTGGTCAGAGGAAGGGACCCTCGCCTGACTTGGCTGGCATTTTGGATTAGAAACAGCACTCACAGGATGATTGTTTTGTCATTAAAATCTCACTGAAAGTAATTTGTTCCTGTGCTCACATCCCAGTCATTTGAGAGCTATGTTTAAACAGCACGTGTCTACGAAAAGCACAAATTGTGAATGCCACCAAGGAAAAATGAGGTCTACAACTTGGGGGAGGATTCATCAGACTCAGTGCCAATGTCTCACGCTCTTGACCCAGATTCCTCAGCCTCTGCAGTGCTGGCATGTGGGGGCAGATGGCTGTTTGCCATGGGGGCCGTCCTCCACACCACGGGACCTGTGCGGCATCCCTGGTCCTCACCCACCAAATGCCAGGAGCATCCACCCATTCATGACAACCAAAGATGCCTGCAGTCATTGCTGAGTGTCCCCTGAGGGGACGACTGCCACAGACCAGGGGCAGCAGAGGCTTATTACATGGATGCAGCTTCACCAGGCAGCACAGAAACAGCCACCACGTTTGGTAGAACAAGAGTGAGTCACGCCATCCAGCAAGACTGCCAGAATTAAATCACTGGTTTAGATTAAATAAAAATTTGTAAAACTCCAATTAAATATACAAAGACAAGAACATTCCATGCTGGTCTTTATTTCATCTTAGAAAAGCGATGTCTCGGTCCTATCACATGGCCAGAGCTTCCGGCATGGCATAATGTCAGCACCCCGTAAGGTGAACGCTTCCCGGTCACTTCGTGTCCAAATGTCTGTTTTTCTACTGATTTTTTTTGGTGGGGGTTGTCATCATGTAAATTTAGTCATCATGTTGTTTAAACATTTTATTCATTTTACATGTATCTTAGACGGCTAAGTATTAATATAGCACAAACCCATGATTAAAATCTAATCTAAGCTCAAATTTAAGCTACCATCTATGCCTGGAATAAATAATCCCAGGGTAAGTCGATGGAGTTGGAAAGTAAGTGTGATTTGTGTTTGGCGAATCTGAGACCTAGGCAGAGGCCTCTCGGGGTTTTAGCGTATTGAAGGTGGAACACCTTGTGACATTACTTGTTCTAGTAACAGCTTCCCTGGCATAGACATCTAAACAGGGTTGAGCATGTTGCTCAGAAGAGAAGTCCCCGCTAAAGAAAGATGGAGGCCCCAGCGAAACAAGTGCAGTTCCGTGTATTTGGCTGCTGAAGACAGACAGAAGCCAACAAGGAAACTCTCCCAGGTCTGTTGGCTCTTGGTGGCCAGAAATGCAAGTAGAAGGAACTTCTTTTCATGTTAATCTTCTATTGTCTGTTTCCCAGGAACAGGAAGATAATGTTACGTATAGGCAAACTTCACTTAGATGATGATTCACTGGCCACCTTTTTCCCTCAATCATGCCATAATTCAAGGTAGTTGTGTGAGTTCAAGGCATCCTCCTCCCGCACTGTGGGCTGTTGTGAGAGGGAAAGTCACCAAACAATGATCCTGAACGTGTTCAGAGGACAGATCTGCCTCGCGCATCTGTGGTGTCTGGAATTCTCCCTCCAGCTCCCAGGACAAAAGCACACACTCCAATTTTGTCTGCAGTTGCAGAGTATTCCCAGCTCCCTTCTGAGAGAAAAGTGAGGCCAAGCCCTGGCCTTCTGCTGGGCCCGTTCTGGGAACTTAGGCAAGGAGCCGTCCTCCACCATCTCCAGGGATGCGCTGAGAATTAGCAATTTCATTAACTTTTGAATTTGCGGAAACTGAGGGGCCAGGAGATACAGTAGCAGAGCTGCACTGGAGCCCATGTCATCTGACTCCAAGTCCCACCTCCAGGCAGCCCCACAGGCCTAGGATGGCCCTGGAGAAAGTGTGTGTGCCTAAACCACCTGGAGAAGGTGGGGTTGTACCTGCCTCTTAGCGGTGGTGTTTTCCGGCCTCCACATAGCATCCGAAATGTCCCTAAGTCCATTTCAACAAATGTTCATTGACTGTGATGTTCTATCAAACAATCCTCTATCCACTGCTCTGCTGACTCTCCGTCCTAGTGAACAGAGGCCCTGTTGACCATATGCCTACAAAGTCTTCCACGTCATTCACAGTCATCCACGGGGCTCCTCTTTATACTCTCGTTTTCAAACTAACAGACTGTTTCTTAAGTGTGTCCTCAAAATCCTGTTTTCCAGACACCTTTGCTCTATTCTCCAACCACCGCCCACAGGCCCTCTCCTTCACCTGTAGTCTCCGGGTCCTGCCAGACAGGCCTGCCCAGGGGTGCTCCTCATTCTCTCTGTCCAGCCATCCCACATGCCTTTTTCATAGGATCAGGCAAGCAGCAAGAGCTCCAAAGGCCCTGAAGTTGTTCCAACGCAGGAGTCAAGTCCACAAATGATGATGCTCCAGGAATCCGACTCCCACTAGAGCAGCCTGTGGCCTCTGCAGTTCCTGAATGGCATCTAATCACAAAAGAACATTTACTGGGCACCTGCTATGTACCAGAAATTACAGTGAGCATTTTACATGTATCATCTCAGCATCCTATGAGATTATTGGTATCCTGACTGCAAATGAAGGTGCGTGGGCACGGAGATGCTCGGCTGCCCGTCTTGTCAGCGCCTGCACTCACCCGGAGCACTTCCACTCTGCTCTTTTACCATAATGCGCAAAATTGAAGCCTCCAGCATGGCAGTCGAATGGCCGGACAGTGTCTGCCCATGCCACCCCAGTGTGCTGTGGGGACTTTAAACAGGGACCCCAAAGGCCTTACCTGCTGTGAAATGAAGACATCACCAGGTCCTGAAGAAGACAGTGAAGAAACAGGCTTGATGTCATGCAGAAGAACCAGGAGCAAGTCTGCTTTGGAGGGTCTCAGGTCCTGCTGCCCAAATCCGGAGAGGCGGCTCCTCACCAGGGAGCCTCGGGAACCTTGGAAGGCAGTGCTGGTGCAACCCTGTCAGGATCTGCTCTCACACAGGTGCAAAGCTGTTTAGTCAGAGGGTCAGGAGGGTCACAGGATCCACTCTCATGCCTGGCACGGAGCCGTTTCACCAGAGGGTCGGTGAAGTCTGTGTTCTGCCCCGGGCTCCGGGCCAGACAGCCACTCTAGCACCACTTTGGCCTGGAGGCCACGAGGTTCACTGCCCTTGACCACATGTCTCCCGGGATCCCAAATCCTCCAGTTTCTCATAATCCTGCACTCACCTGTTGTTGGCCCTTGCTCGCTGGAGCTGTCCATGTGCTCTGTCCGTGTGCTTACGCTGGAGCTGTCCGTGTGCTCTGTCCGTGTGCTGTGTCTGTGTGCTCTGTCCGTGTGCTTACGCTGGAGCTGTCCGTGTGCTCTGTCCGTGTGCTCTGTCTGTGTGCTCTGTCCGTGTGCTTACGCTGGAGCTGTCCGTGTGCTCTGTCCGTGTGCTCTGTCTGTGTGCTCT